TATATTTAGGGGAAGGGGTCTCGGGACGTGTGAACCATGGGTAAGCCACCCATCAAATAGTAAACTTATGTAAATTAAGACAAAATGTATGTAAAATTTATTGTAGGTTTGTCAAAAATCCAGTCGTCCAGGTCCTGGGAAGATATGTTATTCCACATTGCTGAGAGTATATATGGGTATATTAAGATTGCTAGAAACATTCCAAAAACAAAAGAAAAAATCGTCGTGCGCCGTCCGTTATGGCGGTTAAAATACAAACTCAGTGGGTTCAGCTTGCCATGTATTAGATCTATGGTGCGACTATGCAGAGATTGATAGTCTGATGCAGTATGTTGGACTGTGGGATGTGAGAAAATCCCTGCAAATTTTGTTTTTGTCTTTAGAATTTCTGGGACGTCTCCCTCCCTTTCCTACCTCCCCCTCCCCCCAAGTACATATCTATAAGACATTGTATGTATTAGGATGATACGAATAGTTGGCATACAAATGCTGTATCGCTTTGACTCATAAGGGGTGCGATCGAAAGGGTCTCCGCGAAGCGAGGACAAACTACCATCGTACAGCAGTCAGTTTCCGCCTTCTTCTGGATCTAACGCTCAGTTCTCGAGTTGCATAGACACGCAGTACAGTTTTACAAGGTGGAGGACTTGGCCACAGGTTGGGCAGAGGATCTGTCTGGAGTACGTTCCCCACACTTCCTATTCTCCTGACCTCGCCTATCCTGACTATCATCTTTTTAGGCACCTCAAGCAGTTCCTGGCCATGAAGAAGTTCACCATTTGCGGTGACTCAAAAATGCTGTGGCTGACTTCTTTGGCCTCCACAGTCCTCACTTTTCTGAGGGGGAAATAGCCGATTTTCCCGCTCTTTGGGCGATTTTCATAGATAATGATGGTGATTAGGAAGTTCGATGACTGACAGTTCAAATAAAATTGTGAACGAATTTAAGACATGCATTCGAGTGGACGGGATAGTGGACTTTTCGAATCAACCTAATAACTACGAGTGTTTTAGGGCCCCAAAACACCTTTTTGCATGAAAAGCGAAAACTTGGGGAAGGTTCTTTTGCCACTTCGCTGAGAATGTTTGCTGTACGACTGGCATGATTACAAGCTACATGCAACAGGTGGGCAACGAAAGCGGGTATTCTCGGCAATCAATATTCGCCACGGCTAGTTCCAGTTGTCAAATCGTTCAGCGTGGTTGTATTGTGTGTTCAACAAAGGCGTCTACATAAAAAAAATCCGGAAAAAAACTATCCAATTTACATCCGTGTCTCATACGAACATATTTGCGAAGGGGGGTGGGGGGGGGGGGGGGGGGAGTGGAAATATGGGGTCTCATTCAGTAAGGGGCTTATGATGCAACAGATGCTGGCGTCTACAGAAATTTTGACTTTGAGGGGACGAAATTTTTGGGATGCATGAACTAAATATTTCGCTTTGGCTTTCACACCCCCCGGAAAGGTTCCTTCCCCTGCGAAAACGTGGATTATTTCAAGCGATCTAAATTAACGCACCACATGCCCCCCCCCCCCTCTCACTGGCGACACACTACTTGAGCTGTCCTTTAAGCAGGTCAACCCTATCGTTGGTCAAGTACCAAGGTGGGAGGGTCGTGGATTTAAGTTAATGTGTGGGGTTTTCGGTTGTAGTAGTGTCACCCCCCCCCCCCCATCCCCCTCGACGCGTGTCTACGAGCAGGGAAAAATTAAGTTTGTGAGAGAATGGTCGTATGAATCTTGTCTGTTTGAAGGAGAAGTGTAATAATTTGCAAAAAAAAAAATCCAACGATAGGACCGACCCTGCCTTTAGGCCGCCTCAATCTGTTGCTCTCGTACTCTCTCGTCTGCGCTCTCTCGCCTTATCAGCGGCTCATGACCACTGTGATCTCACACATTCAAACTTTTGCCACACTGTAATTGGCTCACCCACCTCGAGTCCCTCCCTCCTACAAGGCTTAGTCCTAGGCTCTCACCTCCCTCCTTGGGATTTGGAGCCGAGCCAGGCGCCGTTCTCTAATTGTCTGTGCTCTCCGCCATTCGTGGCAGGACCATAGAAGAAAGTTCAAGGTTCAAGTAACCCGTAAACCATGCTCTCCCCCACCCGCCCCCTTACTGAGACTAGAAATATGAATATTAGCCTGCCTCTTTGAAAGTCATCTCGACTTATAAAGACGATTAGGATCAAATAGAAGGATATTAGCCAGGCATTTAAAGGATGATGACGGAAAGCTGACCGCGACAATCGATAATCGATCGGCACTTTTTATGCTTCTTGTGCTTGAAAACCAGTATATTGCGAATGCTTTTTTGATCTTGGATGAACGCTTTCGAGATCTCACAGGGTCAAATGTTGTTATGGATCGCTCCGAAAATTTCCTATTTGCGCTAAATATTGAGGGAAGACTGGCCGCGTACAAGTTACCGATGCAAAATGGAATTTCCGAGGGGTTATGAGAGGGTGGAAAATAAAATAACAATGACTTGCAAAGAACCGATTAAACGATGGAATGTCAAATCGAAAATCGAAAAGGCATGGGAAGCGAGCAGGTGCACCACTCATCGATCGCAGATGATGATTGCGATAGGTTGGGCGCTCCCTACATGTGTATGTGCAAGAGATTATTACGTGAACTGGTCTGGCTGTTGATTCTTTTTTTTGGAATAGCCCGCCTATGCGCGATCAGGGTGAGTCAAAGTGCATACCTAGGCTATAATGAGGTCTTTCACTCTTGAACACATTGACAACTTGGGGCTAATGTAGTTGGCAGGAGGGGGAGGGGCAGATAATCGCCACCGCCGAGCGCGGCATATTCGACAGAGTAAACTCGCACATTTCGTTTTTTTTTTACTGTGTGACTGTCAAGTGACTCGCCCACCGGTGCTATACAAGTAGGGTGGGCACGCCGCATTTTTTGAACAGAAATGTATGTAAGTGGGACTGCTGCCCGCTACTATACTGTCACGAGAATCGGGGAATTCGTGAGCCAGGGGGAGTGTAGCCAATCTAGGGGGGTGGGGGGTGAGGGCAGTCACTTGACATGCGTGAAAAGCTGGGCGTGCCCACCCCACTTGTATAGCACCCCCGATCTTTCCAACCTTCGAAAGCATACATTTCCCCTCAACGATGTCTTCCTTTGGCCCAAAGTGCTACGAACGTGTGCAGCGTGTGCCGCGGCGGCGGGCGCTCCCCCCGCCCCCCCCACCCCACCCTAAATCAACATACTTTGGCAACCGACGGCTTTGTTGGTGTCCGATGGCGAAATCACTTCTAAGCCAGCCATTTTTCTTGGCCATCCGCATTTCTTTACGGAATGCGACATGGAAAATTTCTCTGCACTGATTTCAAATTTATAACGTTAACATATTAGTCAAAAAGGCATTGTGATTTTACTTGGCCATGCTGTCTACAGTAGGTGCCTTACACTTTGTTTCGCCTAGCCGGACATGTCGTAATTGCAGACTCCGAAAAATCGATGCGTCGTAATAATGCAAGCGTATCAATCTCTCTTTGAAGGTTTTGTCTGCCGCTATTGGTCGACATGATACAGAATCCGCATGATGCTACGATATCTAATATGATGGTTAGATCTTAATAGGATGAGAATGTACTTTCGCGATTCTTCAACTTTGGTAGCTATGACAGTGGAAAGCTCTTAGGTTGTTTGGAGTTTGCTCCAGAATTCGTTCTGCTGTAGCCCGCCGTGATATATGGCGGAATCTTCGCTGTCATGATTTCTTTTATTGGGGATAATTATACAGTTCAGTAGCCGCCTGGGCTAGGTACCTAGACACGACCTTCATTTTTTGCGTATATTATCCGTTTTAAGCATATCCTCTTGAAGCGAAGTAAACCGTCTTGAAATTGCTGAACCGGAGAAAGATCAAAGTATAAGCTGAAATCCGCTGAATAGCCTTCTAATCGATTGGCCTTCTTGGACAACTAAACAACTAACCAGCATTCAGGTGTTATTACATTCATTTACCGGTATTTATGTGTTTACTGGCCATGGTCATGATTCAAGTATATAATCATGACTGGAAAAGCAAGTATGTTTAGTAGCCAGAGTAGGGTGGTTGGATGCTGTCCGTCTAGTAGAAGGTCACCGCGCGACGTCGCGCACATTTGATCGCGTAGCGTGCGTGGCAGTTGTCCCGAGCGACGCGCGTTGGGCGTCAAAGCACCGTGTCGTGCACGGAAAATCAACAACACTTGGTCCGACTCGTTCAAACCATGTTCATTTCTGCTCTCGTCTGCGCCCTCTCACACAAATAGTGTTCACATATAACAAAACACTTTTCGCACTTGATAAGCAACTCGTTAAGTCATACTCCCTACTCACTCTTTGAGCGCTGCTCGGCTTTTCGCGTTCGCGGCTAGACCGCGTAGCATTCAAGTGCTTACTCGGACGTTGCCCTTTATACATCTGCGCTCTGGCCTTTCATGGTAGGACTACCTGAACTTTCTGCCGCAAATGGCCAGAGCGTAGGCTGATAAAGGGCAATTTGACTCAACATCGACTGTTACGAAAGAACAAATAGTTACGCCAGGGATGGGCTCAAAAGATGATGAGGGATCCTAAAAAGTAAGTCACAAATCATGTGTGAAAAGTTGATATGGACGAGATCACGGTAGTCACAAGGCACTGTTTAGGCAAGAGAGCGCAGGCGAGAGCAGAAAATAGACGGGGTTGAACGATAGGGAAATGCTGCCACCAATTTTGTGGAATACAGCGTGAACTTTGACACACACTTTCACCCCTCTCATTTTCTTACACCGTCATCGTGGTGCACCGTATTTCACCATGTCTGCGTCTCCATCGGTCACCACGCTGAGCGGCGACTCGAATCAATTGCCACGCTCGCACCAGCAAGGCCAACCTGGCGCGACATCGCGCAAGGTGCCCATGTTTCGCCACTGTTGGCGCGATTCTCCCATTTCAATCGGTCATTAGAAATATTATATTATATGTAATACTCATGCAGTTATTGGTTACTTTCATGTAAACATAAATACACTGAACTCACCCAATGGCTTTCCATCCTTCGTCCATTTGATACCTGGGGTTGGATAGCCAAAGACAGGACAAGTGATGTTCACACTGTCTCCTCGCTGAAAGATGAAAATTATTTTCTGGAAGAAATCGTTAACCTGGACGCATTCATATAGCACGTCAGCTGAGGGTGTTAGGTGCTTGAGCCCCTAACATTTTTCACCTTCGCTGGGGCACATCTTCAACGCGACAACATGTCCTCTCACTTTGTATACACTACGGCAGTCTTGACAATGCCATACCAAACCACACAATGGCGGACGGCCTCAAGCAATTTTGGTAATTGTTAGTCCATGTTTGGACCTTCTTGCAATTATTGGCATGATTAGTTCAGTAGAAATGATTCTCTTGAGCCTTTCAAGCCTTTGAGCGAGCGAGTTACACATGCTTTTGACCATTTCAGCTCTGACGCGAAGAAGCCAACGTAAGTTTTATGTAAAAAGTTCAATCTTGGAAGGCTTGAAGAATCATTTCTATAGGTAATTGTTAGTTATTGTGACAGCTGATAGTTGATAAGTGACCGTTGTAACTGAATTAATAGATTTTATCTGCCTATCAGTTACGTGATGTCTTAGCTGGTCTTGAAGCTCTTGTAGTGTAGCGGAACATTTGGTCGGATAAATCATGAATTGGTTTCCACCTTTTAGGTTCCAAAGAAAGCGAATTGCCGACATAGGTTCCAGCGGAATCACTATTGTACCCTCGTGTACTGTTAAGCTCAATAGTCTCTGTAGTAAATTAGTGAATACTCGAAACTACGCATCGCTGTTTTAAGTAGCGCTGGCAGGAAAACTATTACACACTATTAAACTTAATTAACTATTTTATGTTAAGTAACCATTCGCTAGTTGTTACATTCAAAAAAAAAAACAAAAAAAAAAAAAATATAGGATCTCGTGATTCATCGTTGTTGTGATTCGCACGATGCAGAACCCGCGCCTGATAGTGATACAAAAGTGTATTTCCAGGCACTGCTAGGCTAATGGTAAGATGTGACTAACCCGGACATACTGTCGTTCTCCTTCAAGATGAAATTCGTTGTTATCCTTCACAGTGAAATGGGCTTGATCGACGACAGCTACTGGTCGAGCTGCAAGATAATTCGTAGATCTATGGAAAAACAGCAATTGCACTGTAACATATTTTCAGGGTCTATTCCAGCAAAGGGAGTCATCTGGTTCGATAGTTCGCACCACCTGCACTAATTCCAATTTTCGGAGGACTCCCTGGAATGGATGTGCCATTTCGCTTACGCTTTTACTCCCACCCGGAACTTTTACTCCCAAAATTGGAATTACTGTAGGTGGCACGATGCGTTCCTCCCCATGCCCCCTTTATTGGAATAGATCCGAAGTTCAAAGAGATTGTGATTATTAAAAAAGGAAACAAATTCAGTATTGCCATTTATGTTACGAAAAATAAATAGTAATCTGTAGTAGGACATTAATTAGGACAATAGGTAAAGAATATGACCTAAACAACTGTAGTACATAACATATAGTAAGACCACGTAATGTGCATGGATTCCGATTAGTAAAAAAGAAAAGGCTCTTGGCGTTGACAATCGCTCTTTGTGATGCGCCATGCACTCGGCTTTCATTGAGACTACACTAATATACAATGACTTGAGGGGCTATGAAATGCAAAAGTCAGGGAGCTTATCCTCTCTAAACAAGTTGGCTAGCAACTAAGTGACCTGGATGCGCTAAAAGGCCTTTGAACATAAAATTCGATCTAGGATCCGATCTACAGACCACGTGTGCGCTATCTTGGCATGTCAGGACTCAAAGGCATTGACTTTGATGTTGGAGTCTGACTCATCGCACCTTTTGCGCTATCTCCTCTACTATGAAAGGTGATAGTAAGACATCATCAGCGTACGAAAGGGCTCTTCTATTGAAGTGAGAACTCATAATAGGCCACACATTAATCAGGCGTACACAAATGTCGAATTAATTGAATGACGTCAAGCTTATATCTTGAATCAGAAAACAGTTTTGCTGGACATGCCGCTATTTTTTCTCATTTACTGATCGGCAAAAGCTTTTATAGTTGTTAGCAAAAAGCGGAAAAGGGCCTA